ATGTCCTTGGACACCAGTCAAGCTAATGGGTACACGTACAGACATGAGACAAAACACCCACACATATACAGTAAATTAATTTTTTAATGAGATAAAACTATGCATACAAAGAGATTCCCCCAGAAGGAGTAGGGAGGGAGCACAATTCCCGGATACTGACTGGTGAGGTCAGTGTTAAAAAAGCCCCCACCACGCCTGGTTGAGCTTTATTTTTCTTTCTTAAAATCAAACCAGAAGCAAAACCATGAAGTCAGTTGGTTCACTGGTTGACAAATTGAGGGTGTGGCTCACATGGGAGGTGCATTTTTCATCTGCAGGAGGGAAGAGGGGAGGGCAGCTGCTCACAGGGGGTTCTGATAGAAGACAAGCTAGTAAGGAATGAAAGAGCCACTAAGACCCAGGTATAAAGACTCACACCATCCACTGGACACCTCCCTATCTGTACTCTGTCAATGGGGACTAGTGGATCCCTCTCAACATATGCGAAAGGATACAGAGATGGACTAGCCACTCCATCCCAGGACATGATCTAATTCGGACTTGATGTCTCAGAAGCAGTTTGACCCTTGGCTTTGCTAAGAGTGCAAGCCTCCCCTTTTCTAAGCAGTCCACAGGGCCCTTCCCCCACTGTCCTGAACTAGGGTAACCAGAGGGGACTTCAGAGAGGGATTATGTGGCTTGGCAGGTGGGGGGTGGAGGTGGGTAGGGCACTATTTCCCAACAAAGACACTACTCAGACAACAGACTTCCTTGGGAAAACTATAATCACCAGGCTTGGAGGAGGCCAATTGCTGGCAGGGTTTATTGGCTTCCTTTCACAATAGTGTTTGTTTTTTGTAGGTAATTAGAGTTTAGTAGCAAGCTATAAAGAATCTTTGGAGAAACTGTACACAGTCTATAGCTAAAGGGTACTGAAGTATGCCTATGTCTAGCCGTTCACCTCTACAGACCTCCTATGCTAAGCGGCCAGGATTTGATCCAGTACTTCATCCAGAAGAAAAGACCTCTGTGCTTTCATATTCAAAGAAGAAATACCTTTGTGTGGCATGGCATATGTGTGTCTCAGTATGTGTGCAAATAACACCAAGATACAGACTAGGGTGCTGGATGCCAAAGGATATACCAGTAGATCAAATGATCTATTTTCTTTATCTTTTGTATTTATGTGTATATAAGCGTGCCTGTGTGGGTTTCTGTACATCACATCCAGATGGGTGTCTGTGGAGGCCAGAGGACATCAGATCCCTATAACCATAGTGAGCAGCCAGATGTGGTACTAGGAATTGAACCTGGGTCCTCTGTAAAGCAGTGGTCTTGGCCACTGCTCAGTAGTTTATTGGTGTTGATTCACAATAGTGTTTATTTTTGTTGGTAATGAGAGTTTAGTAGCAAGCTGTAAAGAATTCTCAAAGAAACGGTACCCTCCAGCCCATCAACTCATCCTTAAAAGCAGTCTGTCTGTCTGTCTGTCTGTCTGTCTGTCTGTCTGTCTGTCTGTCTGTCTCTAGCTGTTATGGTGTCAGGTTCACTGTGATGTACAGCAGGCTATCTGGCTTGATAGTTTCCAGGGTGACTGCTGTTTCTCCTGCCTCATCTCACCACAGAAGGGTGGGGATTACAGACATAAGCTACCTTGTCTGGCTTTACCTTGGTTCTGGAGATTAGAACTCAGGCCCCTGCATACTTGAATGGCAAGCACTGCCTCTATTGGGCCATTTCCCCAGCCACTTCACATAATCTATTTTTTAATTAAATTTTATTTAAATTAAGAACAATCTTATTTTACATACCAATCCCAGTTCCCACTGCCTCCCATCCTCCCATTCCCCTCACCTCCCCCCCCATTCTATCCCCCATCTACTCCTCAGAGAGAGAGTGAGGCCTCCAATGGGGGAATCATCTAAGTCTGTCAGATCATTTGGGGCAGGGCCTAGGACTCCCTCCCCCTGTAACTAGGCTGAGAGACTATCCCTCCATGGGAGAATGGGCTACAAACAGCCAGTTCATGCACTAGGGATAAGTACTGGTTCCAATGCAAGTGGCCCCATAGACTGCCCAAGCCCCCCAACTGACACCCACATTCAGGGGGGTCTGGGTCGGTCCTATGCAGGTTCCCTAGCTGTCAGTCTGAGGTCCATGAGCTCCCACTTGGTCAGGTCAGCTGTTTCTGTGGGTTTCTGTAGCCTGAGCCTGACCCCTTTGCTCATTACTCCTCCCTTTCTACAACTGGATTCCAGGAGTTCGTCTCAGTGTTTAGCTGTGGTGTCTGCTTCTGCTTCCATCAGCTACTGGATAAAGGGCTCTAGGATGGCATTTAAGGTAGTCATCATCCTCATTATAGGAGAAGGGCATTTAAGGTAGCCTCTCCACTACTGCTTAGATTCTTAGTTAGGTCATCCCTACATCTGACAGAGGGCTGATCTCCAAAATATACAAAGAGCTCAAGGAGATAGTCACCAAAATACCAAATAATCCAATTAAAAAAATGCTGTACAGATCTAAATAGAGAATTATCAATAAATGAATCTCAAATAGCTGAACTGCATGCAAGGATTTGCTCAACATCCTTAGCCATCAGGGAAATGCAAATTAAAACAACTCTGAGATACATCTTACACCTGTCAGAATGGCTAAAATCAAAACCACCAATGACAGTTTACCTGGAAGCAACTTAAATGCCCTCAGCTGAAGAATGGATGGAGAAAATGTGGTATATTTATACAATGGAGTACTACTCAGTGGGAAAAAACAATGACATCTTGAAATTCACAGGCAAATGGATGGAACTAGAAGAAACCATCCTGAGTGAAGTAACCCAGACACAGAAAGACAAACATGGTATATACTCACTCATAAGTGGATATTAAACATAGAGCAAAGGATCATCAGCCTACAATCCACAACCCCAGAGAAGCTAGAAAATGAGAAACCTAAGAGAGACATACATGGTCCCCCAGAGAAGGGGAAAGGTACAAGATCTCTTGAGTAAATTGGGAGCACAGTGGAGGGGGGTGGGGGTAGGAGAAAGAGAAGGGGAGAAGGGCAGGGGAGAGGAGAGCATGAGGGATCCAGAAGGTTGAGTTGGGGGAAGAACAGAGAAGGAGAGCAAGGAAAGAGAAAACTTGATAGAGGGAATCATTATGGGTTTAATGACAAACCTGGCACTTAGGGAAATGCCTTCAAGTAATCTTACCTGACTCTTTGTCACAGACGTTTCCCCATCCCTGAAGCTCTGCATCCTTTTATTTATTTAAATTTCTTTTCATTTTATATACCAACCCCACTCCTCAGAGTGGGTAAGGCCTTCCCTGGGGAGTCAACAAAGTCCGGTATATCAAGTTGGGACCGGACCAAGCCCCCTGTATCAAGGCTGAGCAAGGCATCCCACCATAGGAAATGGGTTCCAAATAGCCAGTTCATGTACCTGGGATAAGTCCTAGTCCCACTGTCAGTGTCCCCAACAGATCTAGTCACATAAGTGTCACCCACATTCAGAGGGTCTAGTTCAGTCCCATGTAGGTTCCCAGCTGTCAGTCCATAATCCATGTGTTCCCACTAGCTTGGGTCAGCTGTCTCTGTGGTTTTCCCCATCATGCTCTTGACCCCCCCCCCACCTTTGTTCTCATGATCCCTCCTCCCTCTCTTCAACTGAACTCCAGGAGCTCAGCCCAGTGAAGCTCTGCATTTTTAAAACCCTTATACAGCTGACTCATTCCCGGGTACCAATATAGGCATTCTGGTTCCTTAATGGTCAGAAAATGCCCATGGTGATCTATGTTTGCCCCTAGTGAGTCACTAGGGTTTTAACTGCTGGAAAGCAGTGATATAAATACAATGGGGAAAAAGGTAGTGAGGTTGTCAGCACCAGTCAGAAAGCAGCCTAAGCACGGGGCAATGGTGCACATCAGAGCTTTTGGCTGGCTTTGTTAGACCCAGGTCAATAAGTACATGTTCCTGGTGCTGAGTGCACAACATCTGCCCACCAAGTTCTCCCTCTCTGTACCCACATCATAGTATCCAACAAGTCCAGAGGAGCCAACTGCCAAACCTCCTACAATGGGACCAGATAAAAGACAGAAGAGGTGAAAAGGCCTGAAACGTCGTCATTGCTTCAGGAAAACCATTGCTTTTCCATCCTTTGTATACACTGGCTTTACTCTTGCAACAACTGGACATAACAGTTAAGGCCCTGGGCCCCTTCCTGTGGAGGCCATTAGTAAACCTTTACAACCATTTCCCAAGAACTAGATTTCCATTTATGTTCTATACAATCCAATATAAATTTTCCCACTGTTCTGCATGCTCTGGTTTCCTCAATTTAATTTTTTTAAAGTCTTTACACAGTCATATCGCAGCTTTTTCCTTCAGAGAAACATAAAACAGACATCCTTTCTAGCAGAAAGGGTAAACTTTCAGGCCACAGTTGTAGAATAGGCTGGCTATGTGCCCCCGAGACTTCCTGCAACTCTTCTCACACCCAGTTTCCTCCTCTGAAAATGGAGGAGGCTGCCTCAGATTCTCCAGAAGGCACCATTGGACTCTAGGGCTTTAGAGTTATTTCATATTAAAACATAAAAAAAAAAAAAAACCCTTCCCTTCCACATGCAAAGGCAGCTACTCTGATTCTTCCAAACAGAGATACTACAGTCTACGTTTAGAAAGTGGGGCTTTGGACGCGACTGAAAAGGAGACAGAAAGCGAATTGTCTAAGGATAAATCCAACCACTTTTGAATGGTGTCCTTGGAGTGAATTTAAAGACCATGCTGGACTTGGAAGAGTAGTACAACTAAGATGCTAGGAAGACCTCACTGCTGGCTTTGAGAATAAATAAATTTCACGTTAACATTTCCACACTCAGGAGTCCATCCGTGAGGTGGACCCTTTCATTACAGAAACAGCAAAGGCACGGAGCTGCTGTGTCCCAGGGCTCTTGGAACTCAAGTGGGAAATGTGTTTGGAGAAGAAGGAAGGAGGCAGAACATGGGAGTCTGATACTTACTTGTGGCCCAGCTCATGGGCGATGGTAAAGGCCAAATTGAGACCATTGTCTTCAGCAAGCACACATTTCCTCTTAGCACTGCACACGCCTCCTAAGTAAGCAATTCCTGCAGCAGAGACACAAAACACATCCTCTTCAGAATGGGAGGCCCTGACCTCCAGGAAAGCCCACACTGTCAGAATCACGCACAACCTTGAAAGGAGCAACCGGGGACGCTGCTGTCTACCAGGCCAGACCTGAAAGCCTGGAACACGCCTGAGACTGGCTTCTACAGGGTGTTTTTGTATGCATCCAATAATGGCAGTGACCACAAACATCTAGCAAGCCCTTGATGTAGGTCAGGTAGAGTGCTGAGTGGCTTATCAAAGCATCTAATTCCATTCTCATTACTGAGAACAGAGGCAACCCAAGCTAGGTTCAGAAAGGAAGGGTTTCCCAGGGTCAGCCGGCTGGGTATCCGGGCTCAGAGTGAGAGATCGGCAGAGCAGGCTAAGTCTATGTGGAATTTAAGGAGGATGTCCTTCTTGCACTTACATGTCATTGAGAAGGGCATCTCTAGGCTTTTGCCTCCCCTAGCCCTGACCCTCAGGGACAAAGGCAGCACAGAGGAGGGGTGTGAGCAAGAGGCAGCACGCAGAGGGCAGGAGATCGGATGCGCTTCAGTGAGCCAATTGTGGGGAAGCACCAGGGTTTCCCTGAGAGGAAGGCTCACTGGTGAGGGCTGCATGTATGTGGCATGGATGGCTGAGGAGAGCAAGGGTGCAGTGCTGAGTCGCAGGGCAGGGAGAGGAAACCCTGCTGCACCAAGCTTCCTTCCCTCTGCAGCAGTCCTCATTCTGTCCCCAGGATGCCCTTCCTGTACCACCAGGCACCTCAGGGCTATGGCAGCAAGGTCTCTGCCCTCCCTTCACAGACACCTGGATAGACTAGAGGAGGGGGCTAACTGGTCTCCTTGTGAGGTCACTTTGGGTAAACCTAGAGCTGTGCAGCAGTAGTCAGAGATGACAGCTGTTCTTTATATTCTGGCTTAGCACCATGCTGTGATCACTTGAGGGAGAAATGCCTGTTCACTACAGCCATCGGTACCAGTCCACCTGCTAAGCTGCATCCTGCAGCTCAGTGCTTCATTAATTTCCCTGAAATGTTGCAGGAGGGAAGGATTTGTCTCAGGACAAAGGAGGACAATCTAGGGGGAATTATTTCATCAAAAATGACCTCTGTTCCCCACTTAGAAATAAACACATCTCCTTAGCACAAAGCCAGCTTTGCAGTCAGTCACTGCACTTCTTGTGCCATTGTTTGCTATTCGTGGTCACATTTGTACTCCCCCTTCAGAGCAAGAGGGGGAAACAATGCCTGGGGGGCCATGAAAAAGAAAAGTGGGGGTTTCAGGACAGCTTAGAGGCAAAGTGCTTACTGAGGGATGTGAGGGACTGGGTTTGGTCCTTGGCACCACAAAGAAAAACGTTATCAAGCCAGCACAAAGTTCAGGCACACACAGGGCATTCCCTCTTTCTGAGTTCCCTCCATGAGGTACTGAGGGGCCTCACACAAAGGCTTTGCAGAGATATGGGGTTCTGGGGCAACCAGTGGGTGACACATCCCACATCCCACATGATGAGCTGTGCTGTATGTACCACAGGCCTATTTTTCTCTGGAAATATGCTTGGCCAAGGTTTCAGAATAGCAGCAAAGGAATAAGTTAAATGCTATTTTGGCCTCAAAATGCATTTTATGCACGTGGATTTAACAATCCAGCAATGCAGATGATAGCTTGAAAGAAAACAACATCCAGAAAGGATGCAATCTGGCTGCTTGTTGACTTCAAGTTCTGTTCTGTTTTAAAATGCTTTTCGGGTTGCTGCTGGCAGTCTACCAGTAAGTGATGGTACGCTGCTACAAAATCCTATGCTGTATGCATGGAATACACACATGCACGCACGCACGCACATGCACACACACATGCACATGCACACTACAGTGTGTAACACAGGTCACAGCCATTCTGGGTCAATGAATCAATTATAGGCAATCAGAAGCATACATTTTAAGGTAGCCACATGGTGAGAGAGAAGGGAGGCATAACATGTCCAGATGCACTGAGCTTGCTGTCCTGAGCATGCCTGCTATTGGCTCTGCTGCTGAACCAGCAGACCTGAAATGCCACACAAATACTTTCCTGGGTCATGGCAGCCCTTTGCATTCTGAGCTGGCAGAATGGGCTTCCCACTTTAATTGGGTAGCATGCAGTGCACTATGAGAAGCAGCCAGCAGAGAGCCTTCCAATAATTGCATTTTAATTTTTCCAAGGTGCAGATGCTTGGATTGAAAAAAAAAAAAACCACCTAGGAAACAAAGGATCAGTTTATTTATAAGAATTCTCTTGCACAAGGGTGGATTAAGGGCTATTGCTTTTAATGATTGATTGCAATCATTACCAGTCTTGTGATAAAACCCAGCAAAAGAAAACATATAAAAGAAAATAACCCTTGATCACAAAAAAAAATGCAAGAGCTGTGTGAGGTTATGAGCGAGGGCGTCAAAATGCTTAGGATGTGTAAACAAAGACTGGAGAGAATCCCAGGTTGCCCTCAATGTGAGGTCTGCTGGGTAAATAAATGGTGATTAAACCATGGAGCTTCTGTGGGAAACAAGCCACCAGTATTCAATGCTTCATGGAAAGAAATAACTATTTAGGGCAAGGACACTGGAGACCAGGGAGCCCTGGTACAGGATGCACCTAAGGTTTCCCGACTGCCCAGGAGTTGAGGTCACTGTGGTGACATTATTGGGAGGTGATGGGATGTCCAGGGACATACTCCTTTAAAGGGGATTGTAGGACTCAGTCCCTTTCTCCTTTTTTACTCCCTTGGCTATGTGGTGAGTCATATCCTATACTTTGCAATTTCAACAATTGCATTCAGGACTAGCACAGGAGACTTGAAAGCAACGGCTCTGACGAACATGGACTGGAACCTCTACAGCCATGGCTAAGACAAACCTCTGCTCCTCGGAAGATGCTTTTCCTTGGGGATACGTGCCAGCAGTGGGAAGCTAACCAATATAAACCTTGATCACCCCAGACCCCAAAAAGAACCAAACCAGAAAAGGCCACCAAAAGTCCACATTGGTCCTTGTCAGAAAATATGGAAAAACTAGTTTTGTCTGTATCAATTTACTTAAAAACAGAGACTGAAACATCTGCTCTGTTAACCTGTTAACTTCATGCTGCAGAGCCCCTTTAACTGCAACTCCTGCCAGCAAGGGTTTTTACACCTCATTATGGTGCTTCTAGTGGCTTCAAAGCTCCCATGATTTCAAATTCCCCACAAAAGAAATCATAGTAAGGATGGACTCATTTTAAAACACCAGCCCTGAATGTTTGCATGCATAGCTTCTTGGAACCAAAGGGAAGCATAAAGGTAACTGTCACTCATTAGCAGTTACCCTCAAGGCACAAAGCCTGACCCATCCCTACAAAGTTTGTTTGTTTTATAGTCAGTAGGTGCTTGTGTTAGCCACTCTCTCCTCAATGTGACAAATCCCCAAGAGAGATACTTCAAGGAGGAAGGTCTGGCTGGATCTGTTTTGACTCACAGTCTGAGAGGATTCAGTCTTTGGCTGGCTAGTTCTTCATAGGTGAGACTGTGGTGAGGCTGCCCATCAGTGGCAGGCAGGCATTGGAGCTTGCAGTGGGGGGAAGGGAGTGGTGGCAGGAAGGGCTCCAGATAAAATATCCCCATTCGAAGTTACACGCCCAGTGACCTACCTCCTCCACTGGAGCCTGCCTTCCACAGCTCCACCACCCCTCCACAGTTTTGGATTGAGTAATGAATAAGCCACTGGTTAGGTCTAGGCCACTGTACTCTAGACCTCTCTGGACATGCCCTCACAGACTCACTCAGAGATGGGATTGACTAATTGCCTTGTCTTGTCCTGTTTCCATTGAATGAAGTTAATAATCGAGATTGACTATCAATGTTGGAGCATGATAGACACGAGAGGCGCTCTGTCTCTTAACACTTCCACTGACAGCTGGACTTTCCCCAAAGCTTGGCTAAAGGACAACAGTGAATAAGCTTGGGAGGAGAATATTTTCATAAATGTGTGCTTCCACAAAGACGTAGATGGAATAGAGCAAAGGTGTCATCTATTTAAGGTCAAATGTTCTTAATCCTAAAGATAAGAAGACTCAAGAGACACACGCTCCAATCTCAGTGGTCGTTGCCTCTGGGATGTGGTAAAGGGAGTAGAGACCTTTGAAAACCTTTCCCCTTTTCTTATTAGGAGCTACAGTGGGACTATTGAGATGGACCAGGAAGTAAAAATTGTTGCCCCTAAGGCTGAAGACTTGAGTTTGATCCCCACAATCCACACAGTGAGGAGAGGGAACCAACTCCCACAAGTTGTCTTCTGAACTCATCTCATGCACCATTGCATGTGCATGCCCCAGCCTGCTAGAAAAGAAATAGAATGCAAATGAAAAGAGACCAAATAAAGTTATTATACTAGATTTAAACTTCATACCATCAATGTATTGTATATTTCATTTATTCTAATGGCATGGCAGAGGCAGAAAACAAAAACAAAAACAAGGCCCTGCTGGATTTCTGCCCTGGTGTACATCTCTGCAAGAATCAGACAATGTAGGAAGTTCCCTGTCAACTCAATCGAGCACATAAATGCATGTGTACTCGAGCCAGGATTTGTCCCACCTCTGCTGAAGCCCTGGGATAAACAGAAGTAAAGCACCTATCAAATGCTGAGTGTAGAGGACAATGATGAGGTCTTCTGATGCCAAGGGATGTTTAATTCATTCTTCCAGGGGAGAGAACCAAGTCACCAGAGCCCTCCACCCACCTTCCTAGCCATGCTGACCACACGTGCCCCCCCCTCTCTTTCTGTAGGAATACAACATTGGAGAGGAAATCAGGTGAAGAAGCTTAGTCATTTCCATTTCAGTAGAGAGCTGCATGCAAGCTTATAATTCATAAACCCAGGACTAGCTATTTGATCTGCTCTAGACCCAAGGGTAAACACCAAGCAACTGTTTAAACCCAGGTTCTCCAGTAAATCACAGTGTGTAAACTGCCTGCAGCTGTTGGC